TATGCTAATTATGCAGATATGCTTACTTGTAATATTTATAAAGAGAGAATAGTTTTTTTATTAGACTAACTGCTATTACCTAGTTAAATTAAAAAAAAAAAATTTGCAGGTAAACAAAATCTCTTCAAGTCACTAGTTAATAGCAGCTGAGGGCCTGTCCCTAGTTTAGTCTTTTTTTCCCCCCTATCCCCTGTAAAAATATCATACAGATAACTGGGAATCAAAACATACCAAATAAAGACACTAAATTACAAGAATGAGAAAGCACTGCAATGTATAATGCTAATTGTGTAAGAATGCTATTCTTTTTCTTTAAATAAGTTAATATTTATCTTTGTAACTTCTAATTTCAATTAATTCTTTAGCCATATCATTCCTAGCGTTACTTTTTTCCTACTCCAGTTATCATAAAGCTTCTTATGTCATGTGATTAGACATAATATTAAGGATATAGTATCCATATTTTTTACAGTATTTCATCATACAAATGTAGAGGTATTTTCTGCCCAGTGGACCCACAGGTAGTTACTAGAGAATTTCTGTGTGTATTTCTACAATGAGCTGACACACAAATGTCAAATAGCATAACCAAGGTTCACTGGTGAGTATCACTACAGATAAGTCCCAAATTAAGGCGGCAATAACAACAGAAATTCAGTAAGGTGACATGGAGGACCAGGGAGAGGTTAATGTATGCAGTAAGAAAGTGAAGAAGAAAAACTTACCAAAGATACCCAAAATGGCATGTTTTAAAAATACATTGTGGTGCTGAATATTACGTATGTCTTGGCACACGGATTCTGGCACACAGATTTTGAAGTTTTTCAGGCTATAGTATTATATACACCTTTTCTATTTCAGTTTTTGAATGTTTGTAGCTAACTTAGCCAGCCAAAGGAGGTTGGAGCTTCTGAACCTGATGGTCACACAGTGATAGCTAAAGCAACACTGAATGCAAGCAGATGCTGTCAAAGATTTAGCTCACAGCTTCCCTGCTGTCCCTCACCCCCAAGCGGATCAACCTTTAATTAAAGAGAAAGGTCTTTCCGACACCCTGACTGCCATACAATGTACCGACCCATCATTTGGGCAAGCTGCAATACTCAGGTCTCGATTAATTCTTTAAAGCCCTCCCTTCACTACTGCCGAAGTACAGCAGCAATCTGCCTGTAGGTCCTCATCAGATTTCACTATTGGTCATGACGTTGTCGAATGCCAAACAAATCTCATTCTTCACTACAGCAAAGTAGCGTTGCTGAACAGTGAAATAGTTTCCATGTTTTACCTTGGAATGGCCTGCACTGATGTTTTTCAGTGCAAGAAAGCCGTTTCCATACATACATATAGTGAGGGAGAGAGAGAAAGCATAATGATACTCCCTCCATTACCTAATTCGAGGAGAATGGCAGCGCACAGGGAAGGGAAGCTCCTTCAGAGCAGTGCTCAATGTACTGTGAGCCAGCAGCCCCTCCTCACCACCACCACCAAGGGGACGGCTGGAGGGAGCTATGTTTGCTGCTCAAGGAGCCACAAAACAGACAGGAAACGTGCCGTTTTCTCTTGACATAGTCCAAATAAAAAGAGCACACACAAGAGGGATTTAGTCACACTGCTCAAAGCAGTATTAACCGCTCCCTCTGTGCCCAGTGACCCCACCAGATGGGTCACAAGGCGTGAAGGCTGGCTTACAGCCCATGCCTGCAGAGCCACCAAGAGCCATGCTGCCACTGCTGGGAGAGTGGCAAGAGAGCAGAAAGGAGAGCACAGGGTACTTCTCTGTTCCCTTTCCCCCCTCTCTTCTCTTGGTGGCCCTTCATTTTAGATGTTACAGCCCAGGCAAACCCACTCATGGCTGAGCCTCATCCTAGCTCAGTCCCCCTATAAAAGGCACAATCCCCTTTTCCACAGTCTTTCCTCTTATCATGTCTGTATATATAGAAGATCATTGTAGCATTGTTTATAAAGTACTTGCAGACGAATGATGTTATATCACTGGTAGTTACTGCCTTATCATTTTTAAAATGACAGACAACTGCAATGCGAATGCAGTCTCCCCGTGGGGTCTGGCTGTGCAAAATAAAGTTGGTGATCCAAGAGAATATTCAGTTCAGCACCCTCAAACAGGAATGTACGGTCCTTTGGTAGATATTGTGCCACTCAAAATAGTGGCACAATAGCCACTATTATTAGCCTTCAATAACTACAGCATACAGGCATGTGTGTGTAAGGAACCTCCTGTGATGTAGCTCACTAGTCATCAGAGTTTAAAAAAACGTGATGTTTTCCTGGTTTCCAATGATTTGCCATTCATTAAGCTCTGATATCTTGTGGCTTGTGATATTCCAAAGAGGTTTTATTCAGCTTATTTTTCATTCTAGGTCAGCTAACATAAAATCAATAATGGTTTGGACAGATTTCATTCCTGAAATGAGCCCAGAATTGGTATACTTAGCCCAAGCTATCTTCTTGTTTCATATTTATATGAACTTTTTCAGAGTGATTTGCTTCTCTTTCTCTCTTTTCTTTTGTGGCAGCAATTCGCATGTATATATCACTAGGCTTCTGCACTGTTTGTACCCCAGGTGCAAGTATATGGTGCCTACTCGACTCAGCGAAGGTTCTTGACACCAAAGTCAATTAGAGCAAGAGCAGGTCCTGCTGCTGGAAAGCGCAGTTACATTCTTATTCATGCCAATGTTGCAATTCTTTGCAAATTCCTGCAGAATCCTGCTACACAGCTTGGAATGGGTCATACCAAGAGGGCTGTTCTCATGCAGTGTCTGCAGTAATAGGCACTCTTTGTGGAACAACAATCTGGTGCTCTGATTCCCGTGTCCTGCAGCACCACTTATTTTTAGGCTCATAAAATGTTTCAGGCACCTAATTATTTCCACCAAAGTCCAATGGGAATCGATGGGTCTAAGTTTTCAGTAGGGCACATAGTTCATCTTTAAGTAACACTCAAACACCAGTGCATCTAAAAAACCTGCTGTATAACGCTTCACTTCAGCATGTGCTGAAGCTAAGCACATGCTAAGTGCTTTGCTGAACTGTGATCTAACCATGTTTTTGGTCCTATTACTCAGTGTCTGGCAGCAATCTCTCTCATTAGAAAGAAAATCCTTTACTGCCTTATAAGCCAACAGAAATGATGCATCCTTGTAAAGAAGGTGTCAAAGCAGAGTTCAAACTGCACTTGACAACTGTTTAGAAAGCTAAGCCAAACAAATATCTTTACTCATATTTTGAGAATAATTGGTTTTCTTTTTATTGCAAAGTTCTTTTGTTTTATTATGGAAAATCACAGCAAGTTCCAATGGAAGGCTGAGGAATGATTCAACAAGCTTGAATACAAGCCTTTGCAGAAATCAGAGTATTTTGCTCTCACAGAGCTTGACCTTGACTGCACAAGAGCCCACTCCTCCTACTGGGACAAATCCTCTCCTCAGTTCCAGCAGAGCGCATGCACTGGAACCCAGAGCTGAATTTTGTCGACTGGTTCCAGTGGGAGGTTAAGGGCCTCCAGCATCCTGCAAGACCAAGTTCTGCAGTATCTCTGCAAACACAGAGTAGGGTTCAATAAGCAGCTATGATAATATAACAGTTCACTGCCACTGAAAGGGAAAGATTTCCTGCCTCCCCTGCTTGCTCACCTTCTTCCACCACAGACCTTTTCCCCCCATCTTCCTTACACTGGCTCTGGCACTCACTTGCTTTCCATGAGACAATTATTCAACCCCTTAATGTGCCAGAAAACTATTTTTTGTTGTTAGGTTAGCTTCTCTACCAGATTAGTGAGCTCAAGCAGCTCCTGGAAGAGGAGTCTGTATCTACACGTGTACTTGCACAAGGATAGAACCAGTCCAGGGTAAGCAACAGAAGGACACACAGTAGGAGGAAGACGACCAAGGAGGAAGGAGGAAGACAGGAGCTTCCCTCTTCATCCCCAATGGACTTTTAAGATCAGCTCCAGCCGCTCTCCATAGGCCTCATCTGCTCTCCCCTACATTAGTTTTACGCTAGTGTTCCTCCACTGGATGCAATAATTACTATTACATATTATATTCACTGCATTAATATCCAGAAGCCCTTGCCACGTGCGGGTTTCCACTGTTATGGTCCCTGCTGTGAAGTGCTGACAGGCTAACTAAGCACAACGTACAACTGGGAGAGCAATGGAGGATCAGCGGTCAGGAAGGGAGAGGCAACACTTACACAGACACATAGCCAAAGTTTGATCCTGCAAGCCTCAATTCATTGTTTGGGACTAATTCAGCTATTAGATAGGTTTAATCAGTTAAAGTCAATCAAACTAATTGCCTGATTAAAAAAAAAATACACACTCTAATTCTATGGATTTAGGTTTTAAAATTTGCCACAGGCACATTTCACCACCTCTTTGTTTCATTTTAGAGTCAGCCTCACCAAATGGCAAACCCTGGGGCAAAAAACTCTCCCTAAAGCAAACAGGAGATCTGCCTATGTCTGGAGTGCAGCAGGACTAGACCCTTAGTCCTGTTGCAGATGGTTCCTCAGCATGTTACAGCAAAATTCTCCATCTAAATAAACAAGCAAACTAACCAAGAAACCAATATCTAAAATTAATATAAAGAATCCTGTGCTCTGGTTGTTAAATTCAGCCTCTTCCCCCCAGCTTTGGACTGAGCTCTTGTGACCGTTCTTTGTACAAAGCATGAACAATTCTACCTGCCTGGCACTTGCCATGACCAATGTTTTACTGAATAGGAAGGAAAAATATCATTCACTGTTCCATTATTATTATTATTAAAAGTCATGGTAAAGGACAGGTAAGCAGGATTTGTGTCTGGGCTACAGAATGTTACAGGAGCATTTTGCAAGATCAGTTTACCACAGTGCATATATATCTCATGCACTTGGATAACTTACAATCCTGGCGTAATATTTACTTCAGTGTATTAGAAAATTAGATAAAAACAAACCTTGAGTGTTGACAACCAAGACTTCTCTTTCTGCTAGTCTTATTGTGCCACTGTACTTGGTAAAGGCAGGAGGCATCCTTCAGCAATGCAACAGGAGTTTTGAGGGGAAAAGAGAGAGAGATGTCCTTTGCAAAAAAAAAAAAAAGGATAACACAGCTTTTTCATCTAAAGTAAAGAAGCAACTGCATCAGTCTTGACTTGGAAGCTGCACAGTGCTGTGTTATCATGGTGAAGATGATTTGTCATTCGTCTTTCAGCAACATTTTAACTGTAAAATCCACAGCACTGAAAAGGTTTTGTTTGGAAATAAAAGAAAACAAGGACGTGTTATGGTGAAAGGTGATGCTTTCCATCTCAGTACAAGATATAAGCCACACAATGGTCATTTAAGTAGCACAGCATGCCATGTTAGATTCTTGAAGTGCCATCCGTTCCCAGTCTATGATAATTAAAAACAGTGAACCATGTACACAAATGGCATGGAAACATAAAGGTGACTGAAACATATGCCAAAGCAATCTGAAGCATACAACAAAAAAAGTTTCGCAGATACTTGATACTGCACTCATAATTAGCTTTCAGGTTATGTCTATCCATCCCCCTAACGTTTTTTTTTATCTGTTGTGCACTTGGATCAAAATTAGTAACAGCAGGCAATAACCTTTTTCTTTTAGTCTCAAAAATTTACTGAAGGTATAAAACTGTAAAGCTGAAAAAAAAATCTTAAAAAAAAGCTGCACATACTTCTTTCCTCGGAGAGAAAGCACAGGACTGAATTATTTAGAAATTCTGAAACAGTAAGATAATTAATAAAGTTATTTAAAAAGAAGTATATCTACAATATTTAATAATTTAAGGCTCACAAGAAACTAACATCTCATTGACAACAAGTTTTCTGCTATAGGGTTAAAAGCACCAAATTCACTTCACATACTAGATAACCAGATCTGTACTGATCACAAGTGGAAAATTCTGAAAGTGCTGATCAGCTAATTTTCCTAGTGCTTTAATGAAGTCATATTTCACAGGAATAAGAAATCCCCTTTCACCCATAAATACAGTTATACAAATATAAAATATACTGGAATAATTTCAGTTTGAAACTACAGTACAAAAAAACTCAACCTCCCCACCCACCCCTAAATCCATTCACTCTCCACACACACATCCCCCAACTCTTTAATACTAAACTTGGAACAACTAAATTGGTTACAAATGACCCACTTAAAACCAACTACCATTTGCTAAAATAAGTGTCTACAAATTAGGTTTTGCACTGTCATAATTTACCAGCTCCTGCATCATGGAGTGTAGATTATTCTTAGTCTATTTTAAAAATAGGTGACCCTTTGTGTCATGGAAAAAGAACATAAAAACATGTATTACTGGAGGTCTGCTCAGGACAGTGATCAATTTATAAAATATAGACTGATTTAAAACACTAAGTGGTACCAAAAGAGTAATATTAGTAGTAAGTTTCCAACACCACCAAATCCTTCTGCATCTCTGAACTCAAACTCTCTCCTTTCCTTACAGGTCTGTTTCCCTATTGGTGTCCAGACAGAGAGCATAGAGAGATTTTCTGAGATCTACATTACTTTTAGCTTTGATATTGCTTTTCTCTAAAGAACTGGTACCATTGTTGAACCCCTCACTGTTTTCCAAGTGCACAACAGATTTGTTCAGAGAGTTTTTACTGGATCTTCTTTTTGCATCTCCCCCAGCTGTGCTACCCTGAGCACTGCTGTGTTCATCCTTGAGGACAGCTTGCTCTTCGTGATCAGTCTCACGGTGGTAGAAGTAGTTGAAATTGGATACAATGACAGGGACAGGCAAGGCGATGGTGAGCACGCCAGCGATGGCACACAAGGAACCCACGATCTTGCCCCCCACCGTGACAGGCCGCATGTCACCATAGCCCACGGTGGTCATGGTCACCACCGCCCACCAAAAAGCATCAGGGATGCTGGAGAAATGAGACTCGGGGTCATCAGCCTCAGCAAAGTAGACAGCGCTGGAGAACAGTATCACCCCAATGAAGAGGAAGAAGATGAGGAGGCCCAGCTCCCTCATACTGGCTTTCAAAGTCTGTCCCAAGATCTGCAGCCCCTTGGAGTGCCTGGAGAGCTTGAAGATCCTGAAGACCCTGACCAGGCGGATGACTCTGAGGATAGCCAAAGACATGGCTTGCTGCTGGCCCCCGCCTCCATTGCTACTGCTAGTCCCAGGCTGCTGCTGCTCATGGGCCAGCTCGGTGCCCAGGGTGATGAAGTAGGGGATGATGGCCACAATGTCAATGATGTTCATGATGTTGCGGGAGAACTCAGGTTTGCTGGGGCAGGCAAAGAAGCGGACAAGGAGCTCAAAGGTAAACCAGATCACACAGGTGGTCTCAATGATGAAGAAGGGGTCAGAGAGGCTACTGGGTGGCTGCATGGGTGGAGAGTCCCCGGTCGTGCCATTGAAGACTCCACTTTGTGGGGGCAGGGGCACGGGCATCTCCCTCTCATCCCTGAATTCGGGCAGGGTCTCGAGGCAGAAGGTGATGATGGAGATGAGGATCACCAGCACAGAGACAATGGCGATGGCCCGGGCTGAGCCGGAGCTCTCAGGGTATTCAAAGATGAGCCAGACCTGGCGCTGGAACTCGTTGCGGGGCAGGGGCTTCTCCTCCTCCTTGATGAAGCCCTCATCCTCCCGGAACCGCTCCATAGCCTCCTCACCCAGCTGGTAGAAGCGGATCTCATCGGCAAAGACATCAATGGAGACATTGACGGGCCGGCGGAGCTTGCCACCGGACTGGTAGAAGTAGAGGATCCCATCGAAGCTGGGCCGGTTCCGGTCGAAGAAGTACTCATTGCGGAGCGGGTCAAAGTAGCGCATGCGCTTATCCGGGTCGCCCAGCAGTGTGTCAGGGAACTGGTTGAGGGTGCCCAGCTGGGTCTCGAAGCGCAGCCCCGAGATGTTGATCAGCACCCGCTGGTGGTGCATGGCCCCCCGGCTCGCCGCC